ATTAGATGTCCGCTTGACAATCCTTTTTTTTTTTTTTTTTTGTCTTTATTTTGATACAACAATCAGTTACGTTCCAAAAACAGAAATTGCTTATGAAATTTCTTCCAAACCTAACCAAGACATAACATACCTTATTGACAAAACCTGTTATTAGCTTTCACAACTTACAAATATTTCACGCATGCTTATGAAGAATAAATATATATATATATATATATATGAAGACAATCATGTCTCATTCCTTAAATACTATCTTGTCCAATCCAGAAATTGAACCTAAAACCTTACCTTTAGATTGGAGTATTTTTAGAGACATTTACTATATTTCATGCTTAGGAAGAGTTGGCCAAAACAAATGCCTAGGAAGAGAAATTAAATAGTCAACGGCCTGGTTTTAAATCAGATCTCCCCCTCCTCTTTACTTGTATTAGGGCTTTGCTCTCCTGATGTAACAAAAAAAAATGTCTAATATTAATTGTATTAGTAAAATTAATGCAGAGTATTGATGAAGGATTCCAGATACTCTCAAACACCAAAAAATATAAATATAAATCAATATTAATGTAGGAAATAGGTTAAACCAATTTATGAGAATGTTTGCTAAGATTATTTATCAACATTCCATGGTTGGATTGACTTTATCTTTAGGATTGTATGCTATAGAGAATAATTAGATAGAAAATTTTGACGTTGAGATGTTTTAGCTCTTAGGCGTGCTTTCTACTGAGTCGTAGACTAAATTTGGGACCCAAATTTAGGCATCAATCGAATTTGTCAAGGAAACTTGTTCATTGGACGTATAAAAAACAAGTCACTTTCTACCAAAATTATTGCATGCGTCAATTACCGACACATCACATCCAATACTTTGATACAAAATGAATTTATTCTTAAGAAAAAATCAATTTAGATACATTCATTAGGGTCTACGATGGTAGGTAAAATTGTATCATAATCACATTAATAGGTGAGGTTAATTCAGTCAATACATATTTTATACCTAATTATAAAAAAAAAAACTTATTAATTAAAATTTTATTGACTGTGTAATTAATTTGGTCAAGAGAATTCACCTTTTCAATAATGTTGAAGTCCAACATACTTTTGATAATTTTTTATGAATTCAGACGTAGATAAATATGTTTGGACTATCAGGAAAGAGAAGTATTGAATAAAACCCAATAATCCCATATCCCTTTAAAAAAAATGTGATAATTTGGTTAATTATGTGGGCAAATTGAGCTCCCAAATAGATTGAATTTTAAAATCGAGAATTTCAATTCCTTGCACAGTTTCAACCATTCAAAATCAAGTTTTGGCTTTATATATATTGTACTTCAAACTCATAGGGTTGACAACTTGACATTGTTTATACCTATTTTTTACTTCACATAAATTTTGTCACAAATAAACAAAGACCTAAAACCATGCAGAGGTAAGCAAAAATTGAAATTACAAGCACATGGGAAAGCTCTCAATTGTTTATTTTCCAAAATGGCGTTCTGCTGCTTGTAACTTTTGAGGTATGAACATATATTTGAGATGAAGAAATACCTCAAGCTACCAAGTCAATCTTTCGGATGGTCCGGCCGGCACTGCAGTTTCCTTTTGTTGAAATATTTTGCCCCACAAGAGTACTTGCCAAACTTTGGAGGTTGACTTCAAGACTCAAGCCAACCCAACAATGAAACAAATCCTCTCTCTTGGAAATTAAGATGAGTACAAATGAAACGAAACCGATAAACAGTTCGCACTTCCTAGTCAATTAACAGTTATTTCTTTGATTAACTTAAAATCCGGTATTACAAACAAGCTCATACTAATTCATTTTGAAGCTTGTGAAATGAATATGCCAACATTGAAGTTGAACATAACCAAGCATTTTTTTTTTCTAGTACATAACATAGATAACAACGAAACATGCATCTATTTTAATATTAGGGGCTTGATTATTTCCAAGTCAAAATTTGGTGCTCTTAAAAATTTGGAAATAACTTTCTCTATTGAATATGATACATTAATTAGATAGACAAATTCGGTCAAACCAAAATATATAGTAATCAAATTAAGTGCACATGAGTGAAAGCCAGCTTAGATCAACTCCTTCCCGAGTCTCAAAATTTTAAAAATTATGCCAACGTGAAATATTTAACGAATTCAACTCAAAATGATGGGGAGACATAGCATACCGTTTCAACTTAGTTGCTTAAATCTTTTACATCTTATAATTAATCCATGTTTCAAAATAGGGGTGGGCGTCTAAGCAATTCGGACTTGAGATTTCATTTCGAATCTCTATAAGTTTGAATTTTTAAATGAACAAGCAAATATTTATGATGTAGAAAATATTTATGAATTTAATTATATTTTAACTAATATTGCTATACCGTGACATATATACATATATATATATACAAAAATATATTATAAACCAATTAGTATTGCTAATGAATCTTACCTACGAAGACAATAGAAGGCATTTTAAATTGTTTCCTTGAACAAGTTTCTTTCAATTTGGGTAGACATTATGTTTGACCATTTTGCAGAAAAAGTTTTAATGCCTTAAACTAATGAGAAACTATGGAAATTAAGTGGCACAAGAATCATTGATCCATCCATTTAACAAACCTATAATAGTAAGTTCAATATGCATAAATATGATGATCGGATTTTTTTTTTTAATTTTTTTTTACATATTTCTTGTTTAATCTTCAAGAAAAAGAAAACAAAAAATATAAAAAAGTTTGTTAAGTTTTTTTAATTTTTGTTATGATTTAAAATCTAATACTCCTTCCCCCCTCCCCCCCCAAAAAAAAAAAAAATCTAAGATTCCCTATCAAAGTTTGCGTGTGTTTGTTGAATGTTTAGTTGTTTTTTATGCTTACAATCAGGTATAGAACAGGTTTATGGAAAGGTCATTGACCAACAATAACCCTTGGATGATTATGTTAGTAAGTCACTGTTGATACCTAAATCAGCGGTTGTGGGCTTTTAGGATTGGGCCACCTTTCTTGCAAGATCATACCATTTTGAGTGAGCATGTTGCGACGCCTTTAAATTAGCACGCTGTTGGAGAAGAGAAAGCATGAGTCCGAGAGCATGTTTGAAATGAGAACTTTAGTGTCGTTTCAAGGACAATGGATTCGACTCGCGTTGGTATAATAAAAATTTTAAATTTAAATTTAATTTGAAATAAAATTTAAGTTACTTAAATTTGTTGAATTAAATTAATTTATTAAACAAAAATAAATTCAATGTTTATATTCAATTTCAAATTTAATTATTTATATTTAAATTCAAATTCAATCTCAAATTAATATATATATAAAATAATAACTTTTTAATTAAAATAATTTAAATATATATTAAAATTTAAAATTTTAATTAAATCCACAAATTATTCAAATTAAATAATAAAATATTTAAACTTAATTCATTTAATAAATTAAATTATTCAAACTTAACTCAATAATAACTAAATTCAATTTAAATTTTATATAAATCAAATCCATTAATATTTCATATAAACCCGAAATGAATCCGAGTTAACGGTAAAATAAATGTGTCAAGTACGTACGGTCAGACCGTTATTGTCTATCCAACTAACTTTCATGCCTTTGGAAGCTTTTGGGGGTGGGAATAGATCATGGAAAGTGGCACACAGATCCTATCAAATATGAGCCTAGCTTGGATGATCAGCTGATCCGCAACAGTCAATGTTTTCAGAAATAAAAGACAAATGAAGACAATATTAAGGTGTTAACAAATAAAGGCAGTTAAAATGTCACTATTTGATTAGATTCGGCGATTTAAATAAAACACGAAAATTATAAAATATATATAAGTGAATTAGTTTAAATTTTTAAAAAGAGATTGTAAATTAATATAATAAAAATTAAAAAAATATATTTTATATTTTTTTATATTAACATGATTTATAATATATAATTTTAATATAAAATATGATATAAATAAATAAATTATTAATACTTATATATATAGATATATATGAATTACCATATTTACTATTCGAAGATAAGCTGCAGAGATGGTGACGCTTACTTTCTTTATTTAGGCGCTCGAAGATAAATTTTTATCTTCCCAATACACTTCCTTATGTCTTGCAGGGCCCAATTTAGAGAAACATGTTGGGCTAAGTCCATCACCTTCATGTTAGAACCCATTTATCAAACCCCAAAAAAAATTTGTCAGGGAAGTGTTAAAAAATTATGGAAAGTATGTTTTGTTGAAGCTTTTACCTTTTATATATATATACATATATATATGTCTACTATGACATACGTGAATATTTATTCATATAATTTGTATTATAGTAATAAAGAATAAATAAGGTTTTTTATATATTTATGTGTTATTTTATAATTTATAAATTATTAGAAATTTAATTTTTATTAAATTTGTGTAAGTTATTGACTAATTTGATGTTCATTTTATTTACAATTTTATTATCAATAAAAGCTATGAAAAGATAATATAGATAGAATGAAACTCCAATTTCAATAGATATAATACAAACATATTAAACTCAAGTTTAAATTCTGAAAATCTCAAATAAAAAAAAATCTAAAATAAGAACAAAGACTACCCTAGTTTTGGGTTGGGTTTTTTAACTTTTAATTCCCTTGCTTGAGAACTAAGTTTGGGAAAGAAATTGAATGCTTCATACAGAAATGAATTTCAGTCATATTGTTCTTCTAGTGCAATAAAAAATTTTCAGTCCATTGCATTGGAAGACTATTGCACTGCCTTAATTACTTTCAACAATTTTCTAGTTAATTTCCAAAACTATGCTTCTGAAAATGGAACAGAAATGTCTACTAAAGAAAATAGAGGCCCTAAAGATTCTGTGTTACTAATATTTCTACAAGCAGATGCATATCAGAAAAAAAAAAATGTAGGATGAAAAAGGAAAAATGCTCTTCTTAAGTCACTTAAATCTGATGGAAATTTATACATAAGAATTGAAAGGACCAGTTGAATTAGTAGTCAGAGTCCTCTGTCCGGCGAGAAGTTGAAAGATCATCTCTCATGTTTATGCTAGATTGTTGAACTAATCGTACCAATGCCTGCACCACCTCAGACATCGGAGGCCGAAGCTTAGGGTCCGACTGAACAAAGATACCGAAAGAGAAAAGAGTGTTAGAGCTTTTGAAGATGATAAAATCAATATCAGCAACATTCTAGGATATTTTGTTGATTGCAACATTGTTTTTCAGCTAGTGTAATGCTCTCACCTGTACACAGAGGGCAATAATATCAGCAAATGGAGGGAGTGCTTTGAGAGGATATAGTCCCCTCAAGGCAGGATCAACCATTCTTGTCAGTGCATCAATGTCATGAAGCTGAGGACTGGCCCATTTGACTAAGCATTGTTCTGATTTTGGTCTTTTACTGAAAAGAAAGAAGTAATATGATTAACTCAGACACTAAATTTTCATATGGCTAAATGATGAAGGGTTGAGCGAGTGATTTAGCCTCACCAGTCCAGAGGCATCCGACCAGTCAATAGTTCTAACATAACAACTCCAAAACTGTAAACATCACTTTTTAGTGTATAGGCTGAAGGACTTGTACATTCTGGAGCATTGTATCCCATTCCAAGGTTTTGGCTTGTACGCTGAAAGGAATCGTAACGAAAACTTGACACTTGTTTCTAGGCAAGAAGATACAATATTTTTCCTTTACTATGTTTATGGCTAAATTATTAGTGCAGATCTGCTTCCAGACTTGCCTAAAACAAGAACCTCTAGATTATCTTTATCAACGAAACTGCATTCATTAGCATGCATGACTAATATTTGTACTTCTTTTAGCACCAAAACAAAATATTTTTAGGCTTTCGTATGTCATTTTGTTGCATATTTAGAAAAAATCTAGGTCTACTAGTCAAGAACAACAGATCATCAGATATCGATACTTGTGAGAAAGGGAATGAATTACAACTTAAATTTGCTTAGCATGGCAGATCTTATTATGATCCGGTCATCAGAAGGCATGTTTTGAATGCACCTAGCAAAAACTAAGATTGCTTTCCAGATACATTAAAATTCATCAAAAATCTGAGCAACTCTGCAAATTTTGAGTGAAGGACATATATATTCTCTAACCGAATAGAAAAAAGGAATCCATTAGATTCCAAGAGACACTCACCTGATAAAAGTTTGCCATACCATAGTCAGATAGATGAGGATTGAGTTCAAGATCAAGCAAAATATTGGATGACTTGATGTTCTTATGAACTATAGGTGGAGAACAAATGTCATGGAGATACCTGAACAAAGCAACGTTCACTACTGGATTAAAATTTAATGAAAAGACCAGCAAAACTTCTAAGATACGGTCTCATCACTCACTAGGAAGGTAAAAATTTTGGCAGGACAACGCAAAATCATATAAGGTAAGAATAATGCTGTTAAAATTACAGTAAATATACAGTCAGCTAACTCATGATGCAATTCAGACTCAAAAAAAGGCAAACATAACATATATGGATTGAGCATTCAAGTTAGGTTTGAAAACAGCAAATTGAAGTGTAGAACAATCAGATGTGCTAAAATTTGTTTTATAAAAGTTAAAAGGAATTAGTAAATTCATTGAATTAGCTACATATATGTTGTATGGAATTTGAAATCACTTGTGGTATAACCTCTGCTCAACAAATTGTATAAAAGTGAGAAATGACTTTCACGCCATCAGCTGCAATAACACTTTAACCAGTAAACGATCAAAATCTATCAAAGTTTGTATTTATATCCTTCTAAGTTAGCTCAATTCTTGCTAACCAAAAAAAATCAACTCAATTCTCTTGTTTATACCTTTTAGAGATTGAACATTTTTGTTGTTTGTGGTTTGAGATGACTTGTATTTTGGTTTTAGGGCTGTTAGAGGCTCAACTATAAACTGAAACTGGGACATGCCTATATACCAGCACACATATTTAAGAGTTTAAAATAAGGTCAGAGGAAGAGCAACTGCAACTTGGCTACTAAAATAGAATGAAAATATAGATAATGTTATTAGTTTAATAGGCAAGATATGAATGAATATGAACGTCTACTAAAATAGAAAGTAACATTATAGATTCAAAATTCCTAGGTGATTTGATTGTTGTTCAATACCAAAAAAGAGGGAACAAAAGGAGATATCCACTTATTGAAAGCAAAAGAATGTATTCACTTACTCAACAGCCCTGGCTGCACCTAAAGCAATTCTGACTCTGGTATTCCAAGTTAGGGGTTTGCTGAAATCATCTGACACGTGTAGAAACTCATGAAGTGAGCCATTCCTGAAATAGTCATAAACTAACATGTTATGCCCTTGTTCTGAACAATAGCCAACAAGTTCAGCAATGTTAGGATGGTGAAGCTTTGAGATGTTTGTAACAATTTCTGAAAATCCCTCCAGCCTTTCGCCTTGAAAAAGTGAAGAATCTATCTTTTTCACTGCTAAAACCTGATACAAACATATATACAGGAGAAAATGAGATGGCACCTTAAAATGTATTTATAAAGGAATGCAGAAGAACAAAAGAGAAACAAATATGCTAACAAAGGAGTGTAGCCCACACGTTTACCTTTCCATCTGGATATTTTGCCTTATAAACACGTCCAATGGTACCCTCACCCAAAAGGCGACTCGATGCAAAATTTCCTGTAGCATTCTGTAAATCTGCCAAAGAATACGGTATAACATGAACAGAGGTGCTTCTTCTGCCTTTTAGGCGGTTTGCAAACTCATTTTCACTGAAGGACACACGACCTGAAACTGAATGCTTAAGACCCATTGACGGAGATTTTTGCAAGGACTTTATATCTATTGCAACACCTGAATCAATTGACTTAAAATCTGTCACCATCAGACATCATAGAATCAGTTGAATTGATCACAGGAAAAATATTATTAGTTAGTTATCAAGCAATCAAAAGTTGCTAAAGAGGCCCAAAATTACATGAAGTATCCAGTCAATATCGATCTAAAACATGTGAACCCGATTCACTTCAGAAATCTAGTGGCAGTAAGAAACATTTGCATGAAAATTTGTCAAACCATTTTTGGTACACCAGAAAATTTATTTGCAATATATTATTAAGAATTACACCTCACATCGTGTAGCAAATGTAACTTGCTCAAACGGACTAATACAAACACAAGCACAACATTGATATATGTTCATAGAAAGATATACTTTCATTGGCACTGTTGACATATATGTAGGAGAAGAATCATACACTGCTACAACTTGAAACATGGAAAAAAGTCTTGCGTGCTTATACAAAGATCATGATACAGAGCAGTTAGAAAGGCAACTCTGCTGATGATTGCTACATGCAGAAAACACAAACAAATAGATACCTTTGGGGTCTTTTAAGATGCCAACATATGATTCAGTGAATAACTCTTGTGATTGAAGGGGAGTAAATCCTTTACGCCCACTGATCCTCTCTTCATCAAGAAAATAAGAGGATGGGGGAGGTGACCTTCTTCTTGAGAATACAGCAATAAGAAGAGCGACCACCAGAAGTGCACCTAAACAGGACAAAGCTATAATTGCTGCATTCACAACGGATGATTTCTGCCCACCATGACTTTGCTCCTCTTCTCCATTGGGATGACGGTGGTGTACACCAGGTGGTGGAGGGGGAGCCGGCCCAGTTGACCAAGAATTTCCTCCAGTTCTTCCAAAGGGATGGTTGCAAGTAAGGAAACAACTTCTAGAGCACTACAAGAATAAGCAAGAAAATTTTGTAGGATACTCACCGTAGGTTGTCAATGTCCTTCAACTCATTAGGAATCCATCCGGTAAATTTGTTATTTTCAACATTCCTGCCAAAAAAAAAAAAAAAAACAGTGGATTTATATTGTAAGTTCTACCAAATTTTCATCAACTTCAATTTTGAAAAAGAAGAATTGAAAGCCATCATTTTCAACAAATTTTATATGCTGGTCACGTACAGATCATTTAGGGGAAGGTCGGCAAGGACATTTAGCGTACCGGTGAATTGGTTATTCTGCAGATGTCTGTATAAGTGAAAACAGAGTAAGCAACACTTGAAAGAGTAAAGATAAAAAATAAAAATAAAAAAAGGAGAAAATTTTTCCACTTACAAAGTGTTTAGACTTGTAAGATTTGCAAAAGAACTCGGCAGCTTGCCAGACAGTTGGTTGAAGGATACATCACTGTAAGTCAGCTCATATGTTAGTACGCAATACAACCAATATGTCTAGAGGCACCTTGTTTCATTTACATTGAAAATATATAATACGAGAGAGAAGCACAAGAGAAAATGGCAATGACTTAATCTTAGGTAGTTTCTAAAAATTTCTTGAAAAGAAAAGAAAGTAAAGGTTTGATTTAGTGTTTCCATTTTCATTTTGTCAATCTTGAATTCTTGATATTATAATGGGATTTAGTTTCTTGTTCAAATAAGACAGTTTATTGATGTCCATATGCCATCCCTATTCTTTCACCTAGTGACTCTTTTTTTGTTCCCTGGTTCATCTACATGGACTGCATTTGATCAGATAGTGCAAATAATACATAAGGCAGAAAGTTACATTTAAAGTATTGTCATATTCATGAATGTCTCAACACATATGTGCTCCCATGTCACCACTCTGCATTTGTCTGAAAATTTTCCCATTTTTAGATTTTTTTTCTTTACTTTAGAAGAAGGCCCCCAGGTTAGTTGAGGCATCATTATCAGAAACTTGGAAAGTCATTTCAATCTTATGATCCCCTCAAATTTAATTTCAATTTTTTCATAGTAGCTGCATATTTTGTATAAAACGACCTTTCTACAGATATTTAAGGCACATAAAATAAAGGTTTCGTGGTGTGTCATAAAGAAAAAGTCAATCACATCAAACATAACAAAAGTTTAATGTTTCCTGTAAAATCTAGAAGCTACGCATATCAAATTGATTAGAAAACTTTTACTCTAAAAATGGTTGATAGAATAAAGTAAAAAAACTGGATTTGGAAAATTAAAAAACAAGGTGTCCAAATTTATACAATGTAAAAGTGGAGAAGGAAAGTAAGAAAGCATTTTTCAAAGCTACACAAGCCCTTAGCTTTTCCAGTGGAAGTATGTAAATATAAAGAGGAATAAAAGAAAAAAAAAAAGGCTTTTTCTTTTCAGAAGTACTTACAATGATTCAAGTTTTTGAACTTTTGCGAACATATCGCTCAACTGTCCCTTGAGTTGATTATGACTAAGATTTCTGCAGCCACCATCCAAATAATTAGACATGGTAACAACTGGTGAAATTGTAATGAAAATAGGAAAAACCATTTATTTCACTTACATGTCTTGGAGGCTGGTCATCTGAGATATCGAGTAAGGCACATTACCATTAAAATTATTTTCAGAAAGGTCTCTGCAAATTGAGCTCATAAGATATGTGTGATATTATAAAGAATCAAACAAATGAAATTAGGATGGGGATATGGATATATATGCAGCACTATGTCATGAAGATCGAAGTGATCAAAAACAAAATTTCTAAGCAACATAACTTCAAAACAGGAAAACCATTGGCCACAATGTTTCAAACATGAATTGCTAAGCGAAGTACAAAAAGTTTTCATATTCATTAACTCAGTTCAGCTGACTTACACGTGTACAGCATTGGGAGGTAGTTGATATGGAATATCACCATTGAGGTTGTTCTTGCTCAAATCACTGCACTATGGCCAAAAATGCATTGCCTTGAGGCTATGTTCTCCGACAGCGAAAAACAAATAAAAAGAAACAGAAAATATAACATATAATTTCCCTATTTCTAGAAGCAAATTCTCACAAGGTAATGACTGAAGTCAAGCTTGAAAGCTGGTAACCCAATTGTCCACTGAGTCCATAGTCAGGCAAATTTCTGCAAATTTTTAACCCAAAAAAAAAGAAAAAAAAGGAGAACGGTTCAGAAATTCTAATTATGTCAAGTTGAACATAGAAAAATGCAAGCTTACTACGGCAGACAGATAATAGGAAAGAAATGGTGAAACCTACACTTCAGTTACAGATGAGCCGGAGCATTTGATCCCTTCCCAAGAATCGCCACAAGGGTCACCACCACTTTCTCTCCAACCACTTAATTGTGATGGAGTATTTAGGCTTTTAAACATCACATTAAGGGCAGTAACTACAAAATAGAATTAACAAGCATCAGGATGATATTGTGTTGTATCAGACATCTGAGTTCTTAAACCAAGAAGGATTGATGCTCGCAGGGGGACAATAAAGCACTGATTGCATCTATGATAATTGAAAATCAGAAAGAGTGCCAGTGGAACCTATTTTCAAATTTTCATGAGTTCCAAAGATATATCATTGGCATTCACATTGGCATCTAATTATCTCCATAGCAGAGGCCAAAAGTAAGCAGAAAAAAATATTTGCCAAATATGATATATTTGTTTTATTCCTTAAAATCTAGACAAACGTAAAAACAAATAAAAATAGAGCAAAAATACAAAAGTATCATTAGCAATAGAATGCATATTTAAAATTGCACCATAAATATTCTACAACTTTGAAGTTGAATAATAATATGCATACCATCCGGGGAATCTGTCTTGGAATGGACCAATGAAATCAGGGTACCAAGAGAAAGAACAAAGTATCCAACAAGAAAATGATGCATGTTCTTATGCGAGAAAGAACCCCAAGAAAGGCAGAGGAACGTGGGGTTCTATTCCTTTGAATGATTTGGCTATATCAAACGCAGAAACCCAAGGAGGAGCTGAAGAAACAATAAACATGAATGATAACTTCCTAAAGGGCAAAAAACTTTTTTTTTTTTTTGAATTTCCCCAAAGGGTGGCTAAATTTGGTGAAGACAAGGGTACAGCTAACAAAAGTGAGGAGAAGGGAGAGGGAGGGAAGGGCATTGCTTTTGTAAAGAGCTAGAGCGGAGGAGAAATAAGAGCCTCTCAATGTTTTCCGGATCTTCCTAACACTTTTTTCCCGCCCTCTGTAACTGTCACCTTTAATACTATGACAAATATTTTCAGACTCTGCCCATCAAAATTCCTTGGCCAATATTTAAATACCAAAAAAAAAAAAACAGCATTGTTAACAACAATATCTACTATTTTCTTTCCCCACTCAAACTAAACTTTGAAATTTTTTTAGCTTTCTTGTAACTAAGATCTTAAGATCATATTTAAAATTTACAGGAAGTCTAATAAATGTAACCTAACTATTTGATCAGAACGTTCAAATTGTAGATATTTGAAAAAAAAAATATTAAGATTACATACGTCGATTCGTATATTTGTATTTATCTATTTTGTGTGTAACATATATCATAATTCATGTTAATATATCAAACATAAAACATATATATATTGTTATTTTTACATATAATTTTTGTTAAAATTGTAAATCATATTACTTTCATACTTTTTATATAGTGTCATCATATCATGTGAAAATTATTACATCTAGTTTTAGTGAGCATAGACAGATTAAAAATCATTTACAAAAGTACTCGGAGATATTTTTGGTTAGAGATAAAACACATCACCCTTTACAACTATAACAATTTTCTCACATGGAAAGCTATCTTACATTATATAATCCATCCAATAAATGAAAGGAGAAAAAAGGGAAAATAAGAAAAGAAAGAGAATGCAGGGATGTATAGTTGACTCTTCCACAACTGCTGATGCTGCTATCCTTGTAACATGCAATCCCATGATTCAAACACCAGAGCTTGTTAGATTGTCACCTAGAAAATAACCTCTGCCTTTCTCCCAGAAAACTACGGTTAGCTGTCTTATCGTCCGTAACCGTGGCCTAATGTCCGCTATTCGAGGTTCTTTGTGCCGTTGTAGAAATATTGATGGAAGAGGATGCAACCATGTAGCACTCTCCTGCACTTTGGAATTACGCCTATCATTACCCCGAATCATCTATCAATCTACCTCACACAAGTTCTACATCAAATCAGACTGTTTAATTAAGCTGTAATTGTTGTGTAGCATATGATTGCAAAGGTAACGCCATCTGATTGACTATATTTACACAATTACAGAATAAGACGTTCACATCACACAACATATGCCCTTTTGCGGTGCTACTTCTCGCCATCCCCATAGTTACCTTCATGTCCAAATTCAATAAATCTATGAAGTTGCAGAGTTTTAACGGGGTCAGTTGCCTCAATTTTGCTGGCTTCGGCTTGATGAATCACCACGCTTTCTCAGTTTTGTTAAGATGTATGCCATTGCAACTTTAGCACCCAGGGCCGAGTGACCACGAGACAGGCAGATCACACCCCCAAGAAGAAGCAAACCTTTTGCTACCAATTTTTTTGATGGTCTTCCTGATAACTTTTTCTCTCTGGTTTCAGAATTGACTGGTTCACAAATTGCCATTGATGCAGAGCCCACTGGAGAACTTATGCCGCTTGTTGTATCTAATGCAGGCGGAACCTAGATGCAGAAAACAATGTCAGTAAGATAGTGGTTTATAACATCAGGTTGTACAAAGGTACAGCAAGATTGCTAAAGCCTCGGGCACTCTCCTTGGCATATGGCCCTCAGACCGACTTCTTTATTTTAACCTCAGCTTTAAAGATAAGATAGCCTATCTCATTCATTTCTCAATAACACTAATATTCAACTCGCTTGAAGGAAACCAAGATAAAGGGGTATATTCTTCAAGAGGATAAAATAATTTGATTATGTACTTCTAATGTTAAAAAAGTTGTATAAATCTATATTAACCAATTATTAAATAAAAGTGAAGTACCAACAAAGCAAAGATCATAAGTTAATAGTAAACATGATCACATTCCAGAAACAAGATAAACATTGTTGAATATAGTAACACGGACCTTCTGAATCAGTGTGGCTGCAGAAACAACTGAACCGGTTAGAGGATGGTGGATGACAGAATACTTGCGTAGTGCATTATCCATCTTACATACATAACTCCATATGCCCTTTGCAAATGCTAGTTTTGCCATCTCCACATTCAGACCAGCATCTTCTTGGTGAAACATTCGGATCTCAGAGGCATCTCTACCAGGCACTGTACATAATAACATTCACAATCATAAGCAATCAGGTAAGAATGAACAAAACTTGAAGAATACGGGTTACAAGATCCCTTATTCCCTTTTAATCCCCTCTCAAGAAACATTAATATTTTCTATGCCTTAAGCTCTAGTAGAGCCATTTCCAAATTCAGACCAGCATCTTCCTGGTGAAACATTAGGATCTCAGAGGCATCTCTACCAGGTACTGTACATAATAACATTCAGAATCACAACTAATCTCGTAAGAATGAACAAAACTTGAAGAATACAGGTTACAAGATCCCTTATTCCCCTTTATTCCCCTCTTAAGAACCATTAATATTTTCTATGCCTTAAGCTCTAGTAGAACAAAATTTGGCAGGAATTAAGAACCGCATTGTCATTCATGACACAAATCAAAGTCAAAGAGGCCTCATATGGTGACAGGAATCATTATTCTATTCTTCTTTTTCAAAGCAGAGAGGCGAGGGTGAGGAGGAATGCAGCAGGCAGGAGCACATTGTTCAAGTTCTCATTTCAATTTTGAGAAAAACAACTTTCTGAACAATTGTATGGCTGCAATGACAAACTACCAACTCTTTTTTGTTTCTTTATAAAGGTTAAGGACAAGATAGATGAGTTAAAAGAATATATGAGGAACTTGCCCTTCCTGATTTGCCAGCCAGAGCTAAAATACTCCACGCGAACATACTTCTTCTGTCGTGGTGCTGATGGATGTTCACATTCCTAGTCAATTATAACAACAATTACAACAAAAAATCAACCATGATGGTAAGCATAGAAAACAGATCAATACCATAAACAGCAGAAGTATTTGGGGAACATATTCTTTAATTTTTCTTGTGGTATAGTGAAATCTGGATTGAGGAGATAAACCTCGGAATTTGCAGGAGCCCGGTTTAGAACCCCAGTCCTGCCGGGAGCTCCACCCATAAAGGAGGGTGGTTGAACCATCATGGTTATGCTCCAGGTTCCCATTCGAAAATTATAATATGGAAGCATGAAATATGCATATATCTCCCATAGGTTGAATGTTCATTCTAAATCAAGTAGAACTCTGAGAAATATAGGGATAAGGTCCCAATTGACCACCTAGGATGAAGGATCAAATTTACCATTCATCTTTCAACGGCTGCAGTTTTACCCCTGTACTTTCTAATTTGGTTCAAAAATTATCAAAATTTAGAATATTCTTTCATTTCCTCGCATAATGTTCTTTAAATATTAACTTTTGATAATTTTTTTAACCAAATTAAAAAGTAAAATGGTAAAATTGTACCCATTCAAAGATAGGTGTTAAATATTATCCATCACTCTAAGCCGAAGTAGAGTGGTAAATTTGGACTTTAAAAGAAAAAATACATATAGCATTGGATCCAATTGTAAATGCATGCACAAGCTAAAGCATTATTCAATGCCAGTAAGGATTCAATATGATAAAAGACTAAGTTTTGGTGACAGTCACCTTGATAAAACAGTAGAATGTTCTATCTTTTCCCTCCCACAATCTCCAAGCCAATATATATTCTCTAGGTTTCAAAAGGGGAAACTTTTTTATTGTGCGGCCAATTTCAATTCCATTTGTTACGTCCATCTGCAGCTGCATATGATCAAGCAGTGTCTTGTCCCACTGCTTTCTGTAATCATTGTCCATATAGAAGTCCCTCAGAAGCTCAGGGGAGCAACTCTCAAATACTGTTGTGCTCAGGTATTTCAGTGGTCTATCCTGCAATCAACAACAAGAAACATAACTTTCAGTTTGCTATAATACTTACTTTTCATAGGAGAAAAGTCTGAATATAAGCAGAGATGTCAAAAAATGTGTTGTCAAATTGTAATGAACCCATAAATCAGCACAGATAAATAAATCAAGCAACAAGCCCTATCAATAAACATTAGATTGAATTTTCAATGGTCACAACAGAAAATTGTGAATGGAAAAAAGAAGAAAAAAACCCTTAAAGCAGTAGCAGTTTATGAATAAGTAAAATACAAGAGTTCTCTCAAAACAGAAAATTATAAACTAATGAAAGCCAAAGGGCTGCTTGGGCACAAAGGCTGGGGAGAGTCAAATGCACACAGCTTAGTCCTGCTTTACAAACAGCTGAATTTGTAAATTAAACCCATGCCCAACTAGTCAAAATGAAGTAACCTTAAGTTCATCATGCATATACGATTCAACAAGTGAAAATACTAATTTCAGATAGCTTCACTATATTATTATTATAGATAAACCAAGCAAAGCAAAGTCAACAGAACCTTAGGTCTGCAGCATTTTGCCTTGTAGGATAGAAAGTTGTTTTCTTTATGGATTACATTCTGCCATTTCTCGTCCTCATTGAGTTTCTCATCCAAATTATCAATTAAAAACTTCAAGTCTGAATCAGACACAATCTCTGGGATTCTACATATAGCAAACATAAGTTCTAAATCAGTTAAAAGTCATATGGCCGATTTCAAACATATCAAAGTAACATTGAAAGCCCTCAATATTCACAGTTCAAATAAAAAGAAAAAAAAAATCAATATATTTAGCAGTAAAACATGTTCACGTTTCAATATGCAATAGAGAAATTTTTCCCACCATAATTGAAGGCAAATGATAATAACTAACTAAAAAATCCATTTTTACAATAAAAGTTGCAGGTAAGAAGACCAAAAGAAAAAATAGAATTAATTTCATTTCTGAAAATTGAAGAAAAAAATCATACTAGAAAGGTAGAAAACAAATATATGCAAAATCAAAGAGTGATATGAAATAACAAAAACAGCCAATTCAGAAAATAAAACATACGAAAAATTTGAATTTCAATTAAGAAGACACCAAATTGAAGGAAAATAAAAGAAACCCAGATTATATAAAAGCATAAAAAAATTACCTTGATTGAAAATCTGAAGGAGAAATGGGTGAAGAAGGAGAAGAAAGATTAAGAGTGGATGATGATGATGATGATGACGACGATGATGAAAGGAATTTAAAGTAAACCTTCTTGGAAATATGAAAAATGAGAATAATAAGAAGAGCAAAAAGAGTAGCTCTGAGGTTAAGCCACCACCAAAATTCCATTGAAGACGGAGAAACACTCTCCCATTCACCCCATCCCCATATGTTTATCATTTTGCCCATCTTTCCGTCCTCTCCCTTTTCTTTTCCTTCCTTGTCTTCTCTCTTTTTTCCTTTCCCCTTTATCTCTCTCAACCAAAATAATTTTGTGCAATCACTGAATAACATGCCTTAATAAATACTTGCAAGTACCCTTATTACAAATAAATATAAATAAATAAATAAAAACTTTAATAAAGTTTATCCTAAAATTTATTCAATTTATCCAAATTTGAACATGTTTTATTGCTATTTGATAAAAATCAACCATTAAAATTAAAAAAAAAAAATTCAAATTTAAATTAATCCAAATAAAAAATATCTAAATTCGAATTATCAAAAAATATTCAAAACTAAATTAATTTAATACAAAACATTTTCTTGCCAAGCAATTTAATTTAATTTAAAATTCAATCATTTAAATTCTAATCATCCCTATCTGAATATGATGATATAATTCCAAACAACCAAAGTATTAAAATCATAAGATTTAAATTCGAAAATGGCTAGATTCATTCAATTGCCATCTCTAATTTGCTTTTGATGTAGTAATTAGACAAATTTCATGAAAGGTTGATTTTGATCCGTTTGATTGCCACCTCTAGTTTAATTTTGATTTAAACAACTAAGACATATTTCATGTATCATTGATTTTATTTTTTGGGATGCTATTATTAAGAAAAACATACAATTGGTTTTAGAAAACGGTGGAACCAATTTCAAATTTTAAATTTAAAACAAAAGCGAAAAGGTTTACATAATTCAACTTATTAATAATTAAAAATTAGTTAAAAATAAAAATACATTACTTAATAATAATATAATAATTAGAAAGAGTAAATAACTAAAACATAATGTTTAATCAAACAGAAAAGTAGCATCATGCATGTCCTACTTCATAAAATTCAAATTTTTTATAATTCAAAATATTATTAATTTCAAATTTGTAGCTAATTTTTTTTAATTTGTATCCTTGTTCGCCAAATTAAAATAAAAAAAATAAACATGAGTGGCATTTTACGATTAGCGTTTAGGGTGAAACAGACAAAGGATTTGATAAAAACAAAAGCATGGGTTAAATTCTAAAAACTAATGAGAAGATTCTAAGTTTGGAGCCAAAAAATTTCAATTGGTTGAGCACATTCAAGAAAGTAATAGCCACAAAACCCAAATTGAAAACCATGGTTGCTGTCACTATCACATGGATAAGACTAGGAAACAAAGCAGAACGGATTACCCTTTCTTATCCTATTTTACAACCTTATCATTGTTTGTGTTTGTTTCAAAGCCACAACTTGTGCATAATAGGGATTTTGTTTCCTGACCTTACTCCTTGGAAAAGGAAAGGCCCATTCTCGTGATTCGTCTAGCTAGCTAAATGAAATGAAATGAAAAGACACTGGCATTGTCATTTTGCCAGAATGGTATCCAGAGAAGATATATTTATAGATCAGGAGAAATATTAGACATTGTTCCAAAAAGACATATAAACATTATATACAATTAATCCAAGCATGACCTGCTGAATATTTTTGCAATGTCCATATTAAAGCAAAGCAGTTAATCCCGTTTCTAGCGATAATTAATGTTTGGAATTCAACATAAACAGTTACAGTAAATAAGATCATTGGGAACTCAAACTCCATCAATTGTACCAATATTCATCCAGGAGAACAGCATGATAGTAATTCTCCAATTTCATGCAACCTTTCCTCATGACATATACAATAGAATCTTTGCCCTCATCATGGGCTTTTACTTTCTAGGTACCAACCACAAACATTAAAAAAAAATGGAAAGCCCCGGTAACTTATAAAAACCCCAAGAAAATATCACATGACAAATATTTGTTAACTAGAGACTGTTCATGCCAAGAAAGAAGAGGCTGTCGAGTTTGGAGATTATCAGTCACTGCAAAGTCATAAAGACTATATTATCAAGAACAACAAAAAATAAAAATGCCATCCTTAATCATCTGTTACATTATATATATATATATATAAAGGATAGGCAAAAGAAATATTTGCATTTCCGACATATTTCATTCTCATGCACCATAACTAAAATTCCAATCAGTCACAACCCTACGGTCACCCTCACAACAATGTTCAAGTAGATGGCCAAAAAATGTTTCAAAAGTCTTCTGCATACATGCATGCCTACCTTTATATTTGTTTGTGTGTGTGTGCATGCAGAAATGCCAGTATTGTAAAGACAATTTGTTTAAGTTAGCTAGATAGCAATCTAAAAGGCCAACATCATTATATAATCAATTCAAAGTGAAAATAAAAATCCGAAAGGAAATGCTTGTAATTAACCTGCTCAATATAGTTGCAATACAAGCTAATATCATAATTGTGTGCTCAAACCAATAAACAAAATACATGTCTTGTTGATGTAACCAATCTTAATTTCTATCCAAAAGCATAATGTTTCCAAACGAACATTCCACAACAGAGCTGAGTCAGAACTCTCTCTCTCTATCTCTCTCTCTCTCTCTCCATACACCCCCCCCCACCCCTGCGGAAGCCAAACAGCACCAAAAAAGAACAACTCCTGATAATAAATGAAGAATGCTAAGAGGGAAGAGAAAGAAAATAGAAGATTGCATAACAGCATTTGCTGCATTCTTTTATTAAACTGCCTGCAAGGAAGGGAACTTTACAAAAGCAAGATACGAGCCAGTATCTTCACTATTCTCACCCAAAATAGCAAAGAAAAAGTACAAGAAAAAGAAAGAAAGAAAGAACGAAAGAAAAGAAAACTAATGACTACAGTTAAAGAAACACTCAGAAGGCAAATATTACATATGAAGCAAATCAGCCCCATAAAACTTGCAAGACCTTGTTCAAATACGGATGCACTCCAACAGAATTTCACCAAATGAGAGAACTTCTCATAAAATAAAATAAAACAAAATAAGGTGAAAAAGAACTTTGTGTCACGTACAGTACAGCAAGGTTGCCCAAAATTCCCAAAATGCTTATTCCTAACTTGCCTGAGCAGAAGAGACAGCTGCCGTGACAGCATCTTCAAGTTTAACCCTTACACCTTTTGAACCATCAGAAGCAGAACTAGTTCTCTCGATAGCAGTGCCTTCTTTATTGCCACCATCCAAGCATACAACGTGAGCAAAGCTCTTGGACATCTGCTTTATGAAGTCATTGGGCAATGTAACAGTATTTCTATGCTCACTTTCTCCAAAAACCCCTACAGACATGGGGCTAGCTTGTTGTCTAGCCTTACGCTCCTGCATGGCTCTCTGCCTGTCCTCATAGAAGTCAAAATCATCCAGGATTGACGTATCAGTTTCATAACTTTTAAAGATGTTCAACATCTCAATTCCTTGCTCCAGCTTCACCTGCAAAATTGATATTCAGCACAGGGAAGCAAAAGAATTGTAGTAAGTGAATTATCTTCAAGTAGTAAAAACTTTTAAATCCTCAATACTAAGTAAGAAGCATGAAGAAAATCAGAAATCCAAAAAAGACATTATCTAATTAATTAAGGAACAGAGGGCTTAGGATTAGTAGGACAGCAATAAAATGGTGGGATAATATACTCAATTGCATCTGAGGGAGAGAGATGGGTGTGGGTAAGGAGTAGATTATAAATCAATAACCCTAGAATCAAGACACAACACTCAATGACTAATGGTCTTGTTGGCAAAAAGAAGCGTTGGTACCAGAAGGTCCAGAACTATCAGTATCACGTCAGTCCAGAGGCTCAATAGGAAAAGACACCTAAACAATTTTTTTTTTTTCCGATTTATTTGTCAGAACCAAGATTTTACCAGCCCGAGAAGGAATAGACAAATTGTTCTAAGAAGTGCAAACTTTGACTTTAGCCAGTGATACCCAGACCACCTACTTCAACAGAGCATTTAATAATGAAGTTTCTCCTGAATCTCATGTAGCTGTCTAATTAAAATGCAGTTCAACAGTTTCTAGATCAGAACACTTCCAAATGAATGAACTCTGTAACTTATAATAGATGGTCATCTGAAATTGTACCTCCTGAGTGTCTCTACTGTTAGTGACTGGCTTATTATCATTATTTTCCAGTACAATGTGACGGAACTGACTGTTTGGAACATCTTTGATGATATGCCATTTGACAGGGAACTGCCCGTTCCATTTATCTTGCTGCCAGTAATCCACACTCTTGTCAAAATCAACAGGTCCAACCATTTCAGCAGCCCCACAGAACTGAGCACTGGCATTCACCTGCAACAATTGTAACATACAAATCAATAAGCTAGTTATCAGCGGAGATGAATGGGCAAAAACAGACATGATGAAAGTGCTAGAAGAATGAACAATGACACAAGAACTACAATTTTCTTTCAATATGAACAGGGCTTCAATATCAAGTTCATGGCAACTACATTTCCTATCACAGTCATGGGTATAAACCAAAAAAATAAAAGCACTCCCTTAACCAGCAACTTAAAGAAACACAAATAAAGCATTGATACTAGAGGCATTAAACTCATTATTTAATTCTAACACAAGAATACTGCCACACGTTCCACTCATACTAAAGGTCATTACTAGGAACCAAAAGAAACCAAGCATATGATAGAGGCTGCAACCAATGCAACCACAAAATAAATGGGTGACAGGTAAAATGGCTGGATCAAAAGAAAATGACACCTTAGAACTTGGAAAGTTGAATAAAATATATTTAACTGAAATGAATGAGACCAAGTAAATAAAAAAATGGTTTCTCTGAAATATAATTACTGAAAAGAAGAGAAACACTGGGCAAGTATCTTGGTTCTCCTTGGCCTCACGATAAGCAGCATCCAATTTTTTGTTCCCATTAGGTGTGCTCGCCCAGACACCATATTTGATACTCTTGTGAACATTATCTTCACTGTATGACTTGATTATGAAGAACCTAGCATCCTTGTAATCAGTAGCAAAATCTGACCTGTTGTATGACTCATCATGGATCTTAGCTGAAGATTTGTTGTTTTTGTTATCATCAATGGAAGAATTATTTTCAGCTGTGATTTGATTCTTAGGTTTTGAGGCCCTTGGTCCTCGGTTTTGCTCGTTAAGGATATCAAGAGCACCATTACAACCACATAGAGAGATGCCACTGCCTCTTCCACGCCGTCTGTTACTATCAAGAGATAGCCAGCCCCTACTGTTTGCTCCCAAACTGGGAACCGATGC